GCCCTTTTGTTTATTGCTGATGTGTTTTGAAGTACTAGATGTGTTTATTCTTTGTCTTAATTGCTTTTTAGAAGAATTAGACAGTTCAGTTGAGTCACTTATACTTTTAATGACTCAGCCTTGTAGTCACACTGTCAACAGGACTTTCTGGCTTCTCGCTGGGAGAACCTCTGTTCTGTTCCAGGCCTAGTGTATACAGGGGAAGGGCGTGTCCTTTTACTGAAGGAGAATTACTTGTGATGCTTCTGTAGCGTTTTAGGTTTGCCAATTCCTTTATTTTGGGCTCTGACCCTGCCTGCACTTTGAAAATGCCTTGGGAACACGATGGGAGCCTGTCTCCGTGTGTTTGCCCTGCTGTAGCTCCTGGCTTTATTTTAGTCTTGTTTTCAGTTATTTTATAATCAATGTCAGTTGTCTCTAAAGTTCTCAAGACTGCAGAGCCCGGAAAGTTGTTCATTTGGAACCCATTGATCTGCTTATAGATTTGTGGTAGGAAGCAGGGTTTGCCTGCCTTTTCTGTCATTGGAAGGGGAAGTCTGACTCCTGGTACTTTGGAAATGACATTTGCCTTTAGTATCTCAGTACTAGAAGAGTGAATTGAATGGCCAGTCTCTTTTGACTTGACAATTGGACATTTGATAATTAATATTTACAAAATACTTTGGGTTGGAATAAAAATATTGGAATAGAAGCACATGCAAGGAAAACTCATTCTGGATTTGTTGTTTACTAATGTGTGACCTTGGAGAAGTTTTGTGTGACCTTGGAGAAGTCTCTGGTCTTCTGTGAGGTATAGCCTAGCAATGACATGTGATCTCACATGGCACCATGGTCATCACAATTACATTTGCTCCATCTTGACTTCTTAAGGAGGGCTGACTTTGACCAAATATGAAATTTTAAAGATAATTCAATTTGTGAGTCATTTTTATTTTATTACTAGAGGCCCACTGCACGAATTTGTGCACCTTAAAAGGAACTATGGGCTGTGAGGCTGTGGTGGGCAAAGGGGTGGGTCTTGACCCATCCTCCCCACCCTTCCCAGCCCCTCTTGCCGCAGCCCCCGGTCCCCTGTCTGCCAGCAGTCCCACTCTTGCCACTGCCACTCTGATGCACTGACAGCACCGGCCCCACTTGCACCCACTGATGGCATGGAGCTATTAGGGTGAGTGGGTAGCAGGTGTGAGTGGGGCCGGTGCCTTAGCAGGTATGAGTGGCGACTGTTGCCCGATAACCCCTCAGGAGTAGGGGGAGGTGGAGAAGCCCTCAGGATGATTAGGGTTGGTAGCCGCTGCTTGCACCACTGACAGTTCCTAGCAATCAGGGTGGCGCCAGGTGCTGGAGGTGGGTGTGAGAGGCAGGTGGGACCGTGGCACGTGGGAATAAAGAATTTTCGGTAACTACCAGAGGCTTACCCCGATGACAGTGACCAGCACCCTGCCTTGGTCTGGCGCCCCTCATCGCCTGTTCCACCATCCTGCCATGGCCAATGCCTGCCATGTTCCATGTGTGCCCCCCCTGGTGGTCAGTGCATGTCATAGCAACTGGTTGTTTGGTTGTTTTGCCATTTGGTCTATTTGCGTATTTGCCTATTATTATATAGGATTATTATTTTAAATCCTCACCTGAGGGTATTTTTCCACTGATTTTTAGAGAGAGAGGAAGAAAGAGTGAAAGATGGAGAGAAATATTAATGTGAGAGAAACGCATTAATTGGTTGCCTCCTGCATATGCCCCGACCAGGGCCTGAGCTGGGGAGGAGACTGCAACTAAGTTATGTGCCCTTGACCAGAATCGAACCTGGAGAACCATTGGTCTGCAGGTTGATGCTCTATCCACTGAGCCAAACCAGCTAGGGCATGAGTCATTTTTAACATCTTAAAATTAAATGCAGTCATTGGAGACTTCCAACTGGACACATTTTTTGGAGTTTGCTCCATATTACAGTTATCACTCAGATGTTAACTTTGCCGGTTAAGATCTAGAGAAAACTGGCTTGTGGTATTTTCATGTTCTAAAGCAGGGGTTGGCAAACTTTTTCTGTGGAGAGCCAGATAGAGAATATTTTAGGCTCTGTGGGCCAAAGGATCTCTGTTGTAATGACTCATTCCTGCTCTTGTGGTATGAAAGCAGCACAGACAATACGCTTAATTTTAAAGAATTCCAACCATGTGTTGGTGATCTAAAGTAGGAACTTTTCTCTTGGGATATTGGGTTAGAGACCTCAAAAAATTTTAGTGGAGGTGCTGAATTTTCTTCACGAATAAGACATTTGAATAGCCCTTAACAACTCATTAAATAGGTTAGTAGTGAATAGATTTTGTTTATGTGTAAAAATTGTCAGGAAAACTTGAAAGGATTGCAATTTTGGCTCATGTTGTGGCCTGTGAGGAGACCAAGGATCATAATGAGAACTGGGCGCTATTCCCTCGAGGTGCTGGTGGTGGTGTCTGCCTGGACGCTAGCCCTGCCTGCACTTCGGAAATGCCCTGGGAGCACAAGGGAGCTATTGCTGTGTGTTTGCCTTGCTGCAGCTCCAGGCCTTTGGGAACCACTCCATTTCCACGTTTACACTGAGTACTCACTGTGTCCCAAGTTGGTGCCAGCCCATGTGGCTGTAAAGACGAACAAGCCATGGGGCTGATTTTTGATAAACAAAGTTTAGTGGGGAAAACAGTTATTTTAACAGAAAACTGGAAAGCATGTTTCCTGGCTGTGTATCTGCATGCCTTGTCATTTATTGTTCGTCCCATTTTAATGGATTCAATCACAATTACTGATTTTCCTTTTGCTGAAGGAGCATTATGTGTTGGCATGGCACTGTGACTGTCCCATCTTTATCTAAAGCTAGAGGTCCAGTGCAGGACATTCGTGCACTGGGGGCAGGAGTGGGTGTCTCAGCCTGGCCTGAGCCCTTACACAGACCTGGAGCCCTTGGGGGATGTTCATTTACAGATTAGGTGGGGTTAGTGCCTGGTCATTTCTCTTTTTTTCCCACCCAATTCTGACTTTATTCACAACCTGGTCATTTCTAATGCTCAGTAGATCCTTGATCATGTTTTTACTTTTTTTTTTTTTTTTAAAGATATTTTATTGATTTTTTTACAGAGAGGAAGAGAGAGGGACAGAGAGTTAGAAACATCACGAGAGAGAATCATTGATCAGTTGCCTCCTGCACACCCCCCAGTGGGGATGTGCCCGTAACCAAGGACATGCCCTTGACCGGAATCGAACCCGGGACCTTCCAGTCCGCAGGCTGACGCTCTATCCACTGAGCCAAACCAGTTTCGGCAATGTTTTTACTTAAAAACACACACACACACACACACACACACACACACACACACACACAATTATTTATACCTATTAAACATAATAGTTTTTTTTATACTGCAATTGGAACTTCTAATATATGACCTTTTAAAAAATTCTAGCTCTCATTGCTTCTTTGTGCTGTTACTTATAATGTCTTGTTTTTCATTATTTTATTTTTCAAAAATTTTTTTATTGATTTTTAGAGAAAGAGGAAGGGAGAGGAAAGAGAAACATTGATGTGAGAGAGAAATATCCATCAGCTGCCTCCTGCATGCTCCCTACTGGGGATGTAGACCTCAAAACAGGCATCCTTTTTTTTTTTTTTGGTTGGGACAATGCTCAACCAACTGAGCCAAACTGGCCAGGGGATGTTTTTATTTTTATTGTGAACTCATTTGTTAGTATTGTGGTTTTTTTTTTGTTTGTTTGTTTGTTTTTTTGGGGGGGGTGGGCGGGGGGATTATTTGAAGAACAGGTTGAAGGCCCTTTAAGAGAATGTTTGTTTACTTTGGCCAGGCAGTTGAAGGAACTCCTGTCCCCGGTCTCTTTGTATTAAAGTTATTGGCTTGCAGATTTTCAGACCATAAAAAAGTATGGACGTAGGCTAAGCTCGAAAGTTAACTTTTTCCTGGCTTTCTGTAGGAGTCTGTGATTTGAATCTATCTTGCGTTGGTCTGAGGCTGCCTGTCTGCATGAAGCCACTAATACTTCAAGCTCTGCGATTCTGAAATCTATCATCTTTAGCCCTTACCTCCCTGAATTTGTGTTTTCACTTAGTTTCTAATCAAAGAGGTTTTCCCCCTTCATTTCTTGAAATCTCATCCATTCTTTTAAGGGTTTGTGAAACACTTGTGTAGCCTTTTTTATTGATTTGCAGTGTGAAGTTTTGGGGATGTCTGTATTTTGCAATAGCATCAGAAACCAATCCTATAGTTTTCCAATTTCCATTAGACTCTATATTACCAGTTGAGGTCAGTTTCTAAGACCACTTATAAAATCCTATTTTACTCCTCTAACTGTTTGGTTGGCTGGTAGGAATGGTTGGAGTTATGGCGCTTTTCATCCCACGGGCTTTGGATTAAATGGCCTGACCTAGCTGCCTAGTCGTCATGGATAGTGTTCACTGAATGAAAAGATAGGACTAAATTTTAAACAGCTAAATTGAACTTTCAGAGTACAGTGTATTTATGAGTTGAGGGGTATTTAATATATATATATATATATATATAGTATATGTAACATATATAATATATATATTTAAATCTTTATTGTTGAGAGTATTACAGATGATCCCCCCCCCCATTGCCTCCTTCCACCTGGTTCCCGCCCCTCCCTACTGCCTGTGTCCATAGGTAAGATCTTTGGTTAATCTGAAGGTTAACCAATCATGTAAATGCAGGATTGGTAACAAGATCCTCTCTACATTTATGTCTCTTGATTCTGTGAGCCTGTAGGAGCTGCCGTAATGGTGCTTTGCTAGTTTTGCCTTTCCCTGTAGCCTCATGGAGACAAATATTATTTCACATGTCTTCTACTTACTCTTGCTATCATCCAAATTTTAGAATTGGACATCTGATGTGTAAAGAATCCTTAAGTATGCTCAGGTCCTCTTAACCAGCAGCTGGATTTATGGTGAGTGCTGTTTGGAGCGGCCAGTACTTCATCACCTTCTGTTTGCATTTCAGGCTAATGCTGATGTCCCTATACAACGTGAGCATCAATTTGAAAGGCTTGAAGTACATCAGTGAGAGCCCAGGGTTCATCTCTTTGCTGTGGTGGCTTCTGAGTGGTAAGGAGGGGGTTCCCTGCACATCTTTCCAGCTTACATACTTTTTCTCTGTGGTTGAGGGAGATTGTCACATATTAGGAATTAGGATCACCGTCCCATGGTGTTACCATTTCTTCAACAGAAGATTTCAAATGATAGAAAACTCATGGTATGCCAAGCTATTTTGGGTTCTGTTTCTGAAGTATTGCTTTTAATTTAGTTATGATTCTGTGACACAAAGAAAAATTATGAAGCAGTTGGTAGATATCATTGACCTGTTCCTTCATCTGAGAATAGTCCAGCACTATTGGTGTTTGTGGCTCTGAATATGAGGTAAAGGAGAAGTCCTAGTGTTGAAGGAATGTGGGAAAGAGGAAATCTGAAAGATACTACAACTCTGAAGGTCTTATACACATACATAATATATACATACATATATACTATAATATATATATAATTATATGTAATGTATATGTGTTCATTTGGTTTTCTTTAAAATATAAGCTATCCCTACTCCTCTTTCTTCCTCTACTCCTTCACCACTAATTAACCTAATTTTTGTACCAATCTGTTCATCATAATTTTTAACCCTATGTATTTAGTAGGTACATATTTCACTCAAGTGTGCAAATTAATCGGCTCATTTTCTTTCAATTAGATAAAATTTTTAAAAATTGAGATTTATTCTCTTTTTTTTAAAAAAAATACGTTTTTAGCTTGGCTAATGTGGTTCAGTGGTTGAGCATTGACATATGAACTAGTAGGTAATGGTTTGATTCCCAGTCAGGGCATATATCTGAGTTGCGGGCTTGATCCCTAGTGTGTGGCATGCAGAAGGTAGCTGATCAATAATTCTCTCTCATCATTGATTTTTTCTATATTTCTCTTCCTCTACCTTTCTCTCTGAAATCAATAAAACATATTTTATACACACACACACATATATACTCCACTGTGTTTCAACTAGCTTGTAGCCAGTAATGCTTAGCATCTTTTGCATGTTGTTTACTTTCTCATAAAAGGAGGGCCTTAACAAAAAACATATATTCATAACCCATAGACACAGGCAACAGTGCGGTAATGGCTAGAGGAAAGTAGGGGCTGGGACTGGGGCTGGGGCTGGGTGGAGGTGTGCTAACTGAGGAAAATAGAAACATATGTAATAGAGTCAACAATAAAAATAAAGCTAAAACAAAAGGATTTAGGCTAACTGTTTTCCAGGGCTCTTTCTAGATAAATTTTTGTACTCTAGAAATTTTCCTGGGCTGAGTGAAAATTGTTATGCTTTTCAGTGTGATATATGCAGCTTCCTAAGGAGCAAGCTCACAAGAGTGTCTGTTGCTCACACTGGTGCTCTTTGACCAGCTGGATTGTTTCTGCTTAAACTTTGCTCATTTGCAGTAGGGGGTGGTACTGCTATTGCCAACCGGGGCATCAGGCTTTCTTGTCCATGAAGACAATTACTGTGTGTGTGTGTGTGTGTGTGTGTGTGTGTGTGTTAGGATTAGGCTTAGGGTTAGGGTCAGATAGAACTTGATGACCCAGCAAACAGGAATGGAGAAGAGCCTTTGACAAAAGAATCATCAGTGATCTTTGAGAAGACTTTGTGTGAAGTACAGAATTAACAAGAGGGGCTTTGGGAGGGAACGGGAGAGAAGTAGTAGTGAGGGTAGTGCTGCCTGGATGGGGTTTTAGTGAAAAGTTTTGTGTGTTTGTATCTAAGACTAATCAGATTCTAATTTTAAGGTTTTCAATTTCAAATAAAAATGTGATAATTAAAAAGAATGTATCTTCAAAATACACTGGGATTTTAACATTTTGGGGGGGGGCTAGGAGTTATTTTCTCTTCTAGTTCATCTTTAAATGATGCCTTCTTTTCTGGCATAAAAGTAAGTTGCTAAAATGTGATATTTGCTTTATTTTTGGTGATTTGTTTAAATATATGCCACTAATATTAAAATAATTGTTATAATAATTCTACAAATTCTGCATTATTTTTTTAAAAGGATAGTATTTTTCATTAACTCACTGATGGAAGATCCAGGGTTTAGGATTATTGTTCTTTATACAGTTATTAAACCTCAGCTAATGAAATTTCTCATGTGTTTTGTAAGCCTTCCAGCTGTGAACACATTCTACTGATGATAGTTATGCATTTTTGAAGCCATTTTTATTCAGAAGTCAAAAGAAACTCATTAGAAGGTGAAAATTGGGAAGCTAGCATTTATTAAATATTTGTTGTTATACTTCTTAAACACAAACATAATATTTTAAGTGTTAAAATTATAAAGAAAAGCTTTCATGTTCCAAGGTCATATGCTTCTAGAAGAGGTCCTGGCTGGAACTGGAAGGTTCCCTTCTTATCCTACCTGCATCACTCTCCCTGCCAGAATGCCCCCTCTCCCCCAGGCCACAGAGATTTACACAGAGCAGAGCAGAGACATTGCCAAAGTACCAGGCGGCCACAATGACTTCAGTCCAGAAGCAGTGCAGAGGTTAGGGAGTACCTCCTTCCTGCCCATTTAATCTGGGAAGGTGTGCATTAAGAGTTTCGCTTAGTTATGTGCGGTGAACAGGAGTCTTCAAAGTCATGTTACAGTTGTACCAGATCACAGCACTCTTAAGATTACTGTCTGTTTTGCATGACACAAAATTGTGCTCTAGAAACAATGCTGAGGGTAATACCATTTCTAAGCCCGTTACAGCTTGAATTAGGAACCACACTGCCTTTCCTCCGTGACTTACTTGATGTGTCTGTGTATATTGGATACTATGGGGGCCCCGTATCTCTTCCTTGCATCTAACTTCAGGGCTTCACTGTCCCTTTCATGGACTATATGCCTTCAGGAAAGAGATCCTAAAATCCAGTGAGGACTTTTGTGAAGGAAAAAGAAAGCAAAAAGAAAGCACGCACGCGCACACACACACACACACACGTGCCCTGATAGTCCAGGGTGGGACCCCATCTCTAGAGGTTGTAATCTAATTGATTGAGAATGGGGACATGGCATCAGTGTTGTCATACCTCTTCAGGTGACTCTCATGTAAAACAGGATCGAGGCAGTCATGACAATCCTGTCATTCAGCCAGTGACTGGTCTTGGGGACAGTTTTAAGTTTCTTGATATGCAGAATGAAGGGTTATGAAGAAGGTACAGTAGTTGGAAGTAACATCTGCATTTGCTGAAAAACACATCCTGCCAGCATCAACTTACCTGATTTGCTCTTCTTGACAAAATATGAAGGTACAAATGCAGAAAGAGAAGCTAACAGAACCCTTTGCAGGTGGTTGAGATGTGGAGGGGCACAATAGGACTGCAAATCCTACATGTTAGTTGTTGGTCTTGAGCAAGTTTGTTGGCCAGCTCCCACTCTTGATCTGTAAATGGTGTCAATGACATATGCTGCAGAGCGGGTACAGAATCTAAGTCCATCAACACAGAGCCCCCAGCACAGGGCCTGGGCATAGGGCTAGGTTGAGCCCCATGAAACTGCCACTATTGGTCCATTTTAGACCTATAAAAATATCAGTTTCACATGGTTTAGCTGTATAATTTAAGTGAAAATTGGGTACTAGGATGTGATCAGGATAATTCAAAGCATTATTTTGACTTCATATAAGGTTCAGTGAAAGCTTGTTTTTTATACAGAATTAGACATATTTCACTTTGTATGATTTAAAACCTCAGCTAAACATATTGTACACATTTAACTTTTAAGATGGTGCACAGAGTGTTAATTCTTAGGAATACAGATAATAATTGTGTTATTCTTTAAAAGGTTTTTATCACTAAGGCAAGGCTTTCATCCATGCGATGTGATAGAGGAAGGTTGCCTTCAACATAATGTTTTGTGGAATAGACATGACCGGCTTATTTTTAACCCCTGGTGTACATATCGCATTTCTGTACTGAACCACAGGAACGAATGAGAATATAGCACATGAACTCTGCACTGAGTGTGTGATGACTGGACTAAAGCATTTACTTACTGCATTGTGTTTAGTCTTTACAGCTAGTTATACAAAAACATGAAGATACTAGAGCTCTTCAAGGCCACAAGACGAGGCAGTGTGGCGCTTCAGAGGCCTGATTTAAATATGCGGTTGAAGGCTAATTTAATGCTGTGAACAGCCAAGAAGGCTTTGAACAGATGGCCAACCCCAACTTCTTTTCTGCCTAGATATTGAGGTCACTGAGGTCCATGCCTAAGAGGATTGTCCCACTTCAGATGTTGATATCATTATACATACTGGACCTGGGAATGTAAAAATGTCTTTTGAGTTATGATTTAAATATCCTTAGGATCTACCACTGTCTCCAATTTGCCCTATTCGTGGTTAATCTTTACGAATAGGAGAAGAGGTATCGTTAGGGATTTTCTTATTCCATCGCAGGATCCTGATAGTCTGCTCCATTCTCCTGAGTCAGTGAGGGGACAGGGTCACTTGGCAGCAGAGTATTTACATTTCTTTTGGCCTGAAGAGATTTCCCCCAGAGTAGAAACGCAGTGATGTGTGTGAAAGTACTTTATAAGTGGCAACTTGCTAGTCAAATGTAAGGCATTTTTATTATCATTTCCTTCTGGAAAGAATCAGGCTGTCAGAGAGCAACCATTTCTGCAGTTTGTCTTGCAGTAGTTGGACATCAGCTCCCCGGTCTTGCAGCAGGAAAGATACATTTTCTTAGAATTCCAAGAGAGAGTCTGTGGGCCAGGTGAAGGGGAATCTGAGGATCAGGTGGAGGGGAGTCTGAGGACCAGGTGAAGGGGGGAATCTGAGGACCAGGTGGAGGGAAGTCTGAGACCCGGTGGAGGGGGGAGTCTGAGGACCAGGTGAAGGGGAATCTGAGGACCAGGTGGAGGGGGGAGTCTGAGGACCAGGTGGAGGGGGGAGTCTGAGGACCAGGTGGAGGGGGGAGTCTGAGGACCAGGTGGAGGGGGAGTCTGAGGACCAGGTGGAGGGGGGAGTGTGAGGACTAGGTGGAGGGGGAGTCTGAGGACCAGGTGGAGGGGGGAGTCTGA